ATGGGTAAGAGCTCGTGAATATCAAAGTTATTTGATTCATTCAAATGTTCACACAAACATGTGGTATTTGTCAAGAAGACCATGCATGTGGTTAAAAATATACCCATCTTTGCTGTTCCATTGCAGCATAATGTCTTTTGTCATTATTCTCATCAAGATGAGTTGCTAACTGTTCCTTTGGGAGGCATGCACTGACGTAAACGTTGCTTTAGGATTACTCCGATATCCATCAATGGAATATGTATGGACTCCAGATTTCAGGTTCACATAATCATCTTTGTGTTTCGCAGTGCCATATTTATACCCTACATTTTGTTGACAAATATATGATTAATATAAATTTGATATATTTAGTACCAAGTTCTACATGGGCAATGATTATTAGCAAGAGGGTAACTGTTGTTCTGTCACGAAGAATAAAGGGTAGAACCTTTTATTTATGTTGGTCCTTAGCAAAGATACAAAAGTTTTAATGCCCAGATTAGAACTCATGTTGCGCTTTGTCTTTCTCCCTCATTTACTCTCACCCATTTCCAGCACATGACCAACACCCACATTCATCATGGAATGTTACATACCGTAATAGATTTTGAGTTGATATATAGTTCCAGTTCGCAGCAATATTGTTTGCAACAGTGGTGTGGGATAATATGGCAATGTGGGTTATGTAAGATCGTTTCATTTTTGACCACCGACTAGCAATTGCTTCATACTTCCTCCTTGGGAGCTTAATCTTCAGGAAAACATATATATCATATAAATGATTTGACACACACATTTTACTTATATCGTGTAAAGACGATATGAAGATTATCATAATTTGGACGAAACACCCACAGTAATTTGGTTAACAGTGTCGTGATGGTAAATCCAGTTGTGATTTTAGGTGGATGTGTAAATCTCTGATGAATATAGAATTTCAAATTACTTTTTCGAAAAAGAAAACCATTCCTTTTACAACAGCTTTTGTTTAAGTTATTCTTTTATCGTAGCTAATACTTGTAGTAACATAAGGCATCAAAATCATGTTCAAGAAAAAGTTCTGCTAAACAGACGGAACTTATCATTTTGGTTCAAAATCATACTTCCAAATATCAGTTTCCTCCACTGAGACCATGACATTGGCCCCAGAAAGAAATTATGGAGTACGTTTTAAGTCATCCCTGACCATTGAGCGATATATTCATCCTGTCTGCAAGACATGTTATTTCCCCCTTAGAAACATCAGCTTGATCAAGAGGTATATTGAAATATCAGCTATAAAGACTCTTGTCCATGCCTTTATCGCCTCTCTTGTTGAAAGTATACTGTATGGAGCATCAGAACAGTCACTTAATCTCCCAAAAGAATTCAACACAGTGCAAGCTAGATTCATTACTGGAACCAGATGTTAGTACCATATAACTTCGGTTCTACGCGATCTTCACCTGGTTACCGAATCAACAAAGAATTATGTTCAAGTTCCTTGTCTTCGTGTTGAAGTCCCTGCATGATCTAGTTCCACCCTACATTATCTCCCTTTAATTACATCCCCAGGCGTACTCTGGGGAAAAGAGCATAACAATTCCAAAGCAGGGCCCATATAAGAGACAGTCTTCCACACAACATCCAAAAAATTCGAAATTAAAAATTACACAAAGCAGAGTTTATTCAAAAAGTGCATAAAGAGTCACATACTGAGGCAGGAGTCAGGGACGCGTCATCAATAGCAAGTGTGAGCACCCTGGACATCTATACAGGTCAACATACGTCTCCTCATTGACGTTCGGTGAATGATGTCAGGAGGAATCCTGTTCGTAAGTCCAATAGCCTGAACAAGTTCATGTCGGTTCATTGGAGGCGGAGCACGCTGTCTCAGCTGACGATCACGACGATCCCAGAGATGTTCATGTTTGGAGAAGGCGCTGGCCAAGGCAATACCTTGAAGTTAGGTATTCTTGAACAGTTCTGGCATATATATGTATGTATGTATGTATGTATGTATGTATGTATGTATGTATGTATGTATGTATGTATGTATGTATGTATGTATGTATGTATGTATGTATGTATGTATGTATGTATGTATGTATGTATGTATGTATGTATGTATGTATGTATGTATGTATGTATGTATGTATGTATGTATGTATGTATGTATGTATGTATGTATGTATGTATGGTATGTACGTACGTACGTACGTGTGTGTGTGAGAGTGAGTGAGTGAGTGTGTGTATATGTATGTATGTATGCGTGTGTATGTGTGTATGTATATATGCATGCATGTATGTCTTGAATTTTGACGCGTGCTTGGATTAGATGTGCATGCATCTGCCTCAACGTATCCTATTGCAAGCAAATGATTTGTTCAATGATTGAGGAGATTCAAACGTGATAATACAACTTAACAATTTTCTGTAATTTATTACACGTTCATTCTCTGCAAAGTCTTATATAATTCTGTTGTATGGAAATACATTAAATCATTGTGAATTTTATTTTGCACCTGTGAATACAAAATGTTAACAAATTGTCAACCGAAACCTAACTTAAAATGCGAATTGTCTTGCGGTACGTTTTACGTCAGGGTTTTTGTTTAGTAGCCATGTAGGGTAGGACTAACAGCCATCGTCACTCTATCTGTTCACTCTACAAAGTAGTTGGCCCATCACACTGACCGTTAATCTTTCAATCACGGAGGTCACCGTGCCTTTAGTCGTGAGGTCCCCCTACAGTGTATCTGGGCACCCTAATCGCACAACTATCTTACCAATATCGTGTGTTCACTTGGCAATGACCTGATTCACAGACCTAACTTGATATCCCCCACACAAAGTATGCACAATACAATCAATGCAACATGTCTCTGTGTGGGGCTGTTTTGAACACCGTGCTTGAAGAAAGTCATGTTTTCATCGTTCTTTGCATTGTATTATTTGAAATCTCCCGTGTTATAAATTCATGAAGGACGATCAAGGGTTCACTGTGACTCAGTGTTGGGTATTGTATTCTGGATTTCTTCTGTGTCTTCTGGCTTGATTGATGTGTTGCTGTTGTTGTTGTCAGGTATACCGTCTGGCACACAACAAGGTTTTCATGCAGACATTTTCCACCAGTGATCAAATTATAAACGTTGAAATATGTAAACATAAAAACATCCCTTATATTTCAGAAGATCAATGTGTTACCATTAAACATAGTAAAATAACTTATCCAAGCTTCAATACAACTCACTATCTGGGTAAATTGACCAGCAAGGAAAATTTAAATAGAAATTCTAAACACAAAGAGAGGTAAACACTGTAGTTTTTTCAGAGAAGCAAACATGGCAGATAACCGACAGTGACTGCTGATAGTCCTTAACATCATCATTTGCTGATACTCTCTGGCCAATCGGTTGACAGTCGATGATTGACAACCAATATCCCGTGCAATAGCATCAATGACATGCTAGCATTCTGCCTACCAATCCTTTTACCGTCTTTGTCAGTTGAGGAGGCCCACTAATTTCTCATCAACAACGAAAGTAATTGATTGACAGGTTACAGAAGTTGATGTTTGCTTAATGTATTGCACGTGATATTCGGCTTGGATAACAGCCTGTCATTTGGGTACTGCACAATGGACTATGCTCGAACTTTCAAAGAGTTGATCAACACTTTCCTCTTTAAAATGCACGGTTTAACGTCTTGTTAAAAACCGGCTGATATGGCGTTTATAACATTACTCCAGTCACACCATCGTTTGAAAGTAAAGCCTTGCCCAATGTATTTGCCTCCAGAACAATGTACATGCCCTCACCTGCCACGTGCTACTGGTCATTCCTTAACCGTGTTAGTATGCTTCACGAGATGACGTTTTTAGCTAGAAGATTTTTGTTGTCAAGTACAAATTATTGTTAGGTCAAGTACAAATTTGGCAAATCAGGGACCCTCTGTTGATTCAACTGACTTACATTTGTTTATATTGTTATATTTTATCCGTTTGTGACCCAACGGATAACGTTCCATACATCTGACGTAAATATGTTACTTCAGTTAATCTTTGAGTTTGGACTTGACTATCTAGTGATTAGCATTATGGGGATCCTTGTACGCAAATGGTGTTTATCAACTAGGTCACCGAACCTGATCACCAGACCCAGTGTCTCGCCCTTTACAAGCATTGTTTGCTGAAGATCAACTGTAAACAAAGATGCGGTCTAACAGTTCTGTAGCCAAACTCGATTCCATGATAATGAAGGTTTTCAAATACTGTGCCTTCATTTGATTATATGAAATGACATAATTGATTCACTCGCTGTAGTAAAGTATTTATGTATACCATCTACACAAAGTACTAACTGACTGAGTTTAGTTTTACGCCGCTTTTAGCAATATTCCAGCAATATCACGGCTGGGGACACCAGAAATGGGCTTAACACATTGTGCCCATGTGGGGAATCGAACCCGAGTCTTCGGCGTGACGAGCCAACGCTTTAACCACTAGGCTACCCCACCGCCCCCCACAAAAAGTAGGGGATATTGGATTTACAAGATTGATAAAATGCAAATGATGAAGCCAAGGAAGAAACAGATGATGAAGAGAAATTAAGGGAGAATGTGACAATTTATTCCATTCCTTTGGAAATGGTTTATCTGTACTGATATATACTATTTTCTTCATATGCATTGGCAATGGCTAGTGGTATAAGCGCAAAATGGAATATCCCCTACGTTTTTAAATGATATATTTATATGGAACGGACATTATATACAATGTAGATATTATGCATTAACGAAACAAATAGACAAAGGCTTAACATATTCGCCAAAGTGTCAAACATGTTCATGAACTTGAGTGGAAGAAACGTTTGTAAAGAAAAGCGTGTTTGAATAGCCTGACATACGTAATATAATCAGCACAGTTAGAACGATACACTGTAAGCAGTATCATTGGTTTCGCTATAGTGGACCAATCGTCTGTCTGCATATCTAGTGGACAAGTTTACAGCTGTCTAACGTATCTAGGTGACACACCACAGTGCATTGCCATAACACAGCTACCGCTTCATATAACAAGACCCTTGTCTACTGACATCCAGCAGCAACACGGCTGTGGCCACTGTAGACTACCAGACACACCGCCATAGACAGACAGTCACACCGCCATAGACAGACAGTCACACCGCCATAGACATACAGTCACACCGCGGGACAAGGCATTGCGTAAGTATTGATAATGTCGTCATTACTAGAGTATGATTTGGTATGAAGTGAAATAGTTGTTACCGTTTCGTGATATTGAAACACCTTTTATAAGAAACAATGTACTTGTTGTTGAGGAAATTGTTACTTGGATCCTTTGGTTGAAACAGGTGCCCATGCCACTAATCATTTCTGGCGCTGTGTTCCTTCAGCAGAATAAGACATACGTGCATGATCACTGGAAAGTATTACAAAACCATGCAGATTAAAATAAAGCTTGCAATACAAACATTTGTTGACGTTGATATCTGGTCAGAACAATTATATACTGAACTGCATGTGGTCGTTATATCGGTGACCTGTGCAATCTTACTTCATGCTAGTAAATACTGGGTTCGGGCTTATTCAGGCTGTGTCTTTCTCCCGAGATAATATCTATGAACTGAAGGGGTTTCGAGAGTAAAAGTGGTATCGATATGTGATTCTACGTTTTCGGATTTATATTGTCTGGTGTTCAACCCAGGTTTGTCCAGCATTATACGTTTTAAAACACATTCAGAAAGTGCTAAGGACGTATTTTCAAGAAACATATTTCTAAGATAGTTGCACATGTCACATTACATAACTGGCATACTAGCTGCAGAATAGATATAACCCTACACTAAATCTGTCTTTGGACCCGATACAAGTAGTGTCGCTGTTGTCATAAAATTTACTAATGTACAGCCCGGTGTCTGGTCGCTGTTGTCCTACACTTCACCCATGTACAGCCCAGTGTCTGGTCACTGTTGTCCTACACTTCACTCTTGTACAACCCGATGTCTGGTCACTGTTGTCCTACACTTCACTCTTGTACAACCCGGTGTCTGGTCACTGTTGTCATACACTTCACCCATGTACAACCCGGTGTCTGGTCACTGTTGTCCTACACTTCACCCATGTACAACCCGGTGTCTGGTCACTGTTGTCCTACACTTCACTCATGTACAACCCGGTGTCTGGTCACTGTTGTCCTACACTTCACCCATGTACAACCCGATGTCTGGTCACTGTTGTCCTACACTTCACCCATGTACAACCCGATGTCTGGTCACTGTTGTCCTACACTTCACCCATGTACAGCCTCGTGTCCGGTGTCTGGTCACTGTTATCCTACACTTCACCCATGTACAACCAGATGTCTGGTCACTGTTGTCCTACACTTCATCCATGTACAACCCGATGTCTGGTCACTGTTGTCCTACACTTCACCCATGTACAGCCCGGTGTCTGGTCACTGTTGTCATACACTTCACCCATGTACAACCCGATGTCTGGTCACTGTTGTCCTACACTTCACCCATGTACAACCCGATGTCTGGTCACTGTTGTCCTACACTTCACCCATGTACAACCCGATGTCTGGTCACTGTTGTCCTACACTTCACCCATGTACAGCCCGATGTCTGGTCACTGTTGTCCTACACTTCATCCATGTACAACCCGATGTCTGGTCACTGTTGTCCTACACTTCACCCATGTACAACCCGATGTCTGGTCACTGTTGTCGTACACTTCACTCATGTACAACCCGATGTCTGGTCACTGTTGTCCTGTTGTCCTACACTTCACCCATGTACAACCCGATGTCTGGTCACTGTTGTCCTACACTTCACTATTGTACAACCCGATGTCTGGTCACTGTTGTCCTACACTTCACCCATGTACAACCCGATGTCTGGTCACTGTTGTCCTACACTTCACCCATGTACAACAGCCCGGTGATGTCTGGTCACTGTTGTCCTACACTTCACCCATGTACAGCCCGGTGTCTGGTCACTGGTTATCCTACACTTCACCCATGTACAACCCGATGTCTGGTCACTGTTGTCCTACACTTCACCCATGTACAACCCGATGTCTGGTCACTGTTGTCCTACACTTCACCCATGTACAACCCGATGTCTGGTCACTGTTGTCCTACACTTCACCCTTGTGTACAACCCGATGTCTGGTCACTGTTGTCACTTTGTCCTACACTTCACCCATGTACAACCCGATGTCTGGTCACTGTTGTCCTACACTTCACCCATGTACAACCCGATGTCTGGTCACTGTTATCCTACACTTCACCCATGTACAACCCGATGTCTGGTCACTGTTATCCTACACTTCACCCATGTACAACCCGATGTCTGGTCACTGTTATCCTACACTTCACCCATGTACAACCCGATGTCTGGTCACTGTTGTCCTACACTTCACCCATGTACAACCCAGTGTCTGGTCACTGTTATCCTACACTTCATCCATGTACAACCCATGTCTGGTCACTGTTACCTACACTTCCCTTCATGTACTGGTGTCACTGTTGTCCTACACTTCACCCATGTACAACCCGATGTCTGGTCACTGTTGTCCTACACTTCACCCATGTACAACCCGATGTCTGGTCACTGTTGTCCTACACTTCACCCATGTACAACCCGATGTCTGGTCACTGTTGTCCTACACTTCACCCATGTACAACCCGATGTCTGGTCACTGTTATCCTACACTTCACCCATGTACAACCCGATGTCTGGTCACTGTTATCCTACACTTCACCCATGTACAACCCGATGTCTGGTCATGGTTATCCTACACTTCACCCATGTACAACCCGATGTCTGGTCACTGTTATCCTACACTTCACCCATGTACAACCCGATGTCTGGTCACTGTTGTCCTACACTTCATCCATGTACAGCCCAGTGTCTGGTCACTGTTGTCCTACACTTCATCCATGTACAACCCGATGTCTGGTCACTGTTGTCCTACACTTCATCCATGTACAACCCGATGTCTGGTCACTGTTGTCCTACACTTCATCCATGTACAACCCGATGTCTGGTCACTGTTATCCTACACTTCACCCTTGTACAGCGCGATGTCTGGTCACTGTTGTCCTACACTTCACCCTTGTACAACCCGATGTCTGGTCACTGTTATCCTACACTTCACCCATGTACAACCCGATGTCTGGTCACTGTTATCCTACACTTCATCCATGTACAGCCCGATGTCTGGTCACTGTTATCCTACACTTCACCCATGTACAGCCCGATGTCTGGTCATGGTTGTCCTACACTTCACCCATGTACAGCCCAGTGTCTGGTCACTGTTGTCCTACACTTCACCCATGTACAGCCCGATGTCTGGTCACTGTTGTCCTACACTTCATCCATGTACAGCCCGATGTCTGGTCACTGTTATCCTACACTTCATCCATGTACAACCCGATGTCTGGTCATGGTTATCCTACACTTCACCCATGTACAGCGCGATGTCTGGTCACTGTTGTCCTACACTTCACCCATGTTACAGCCAGTGTCTGGTAACTGTTATCCTACACTTCACCCATGTACAACCCAATGTCTGGTCACTGTTACCCTACACCTCATCCAAGTACAACCCGATGTCTGGTCATGGTTATCCTACACTTCACCCATGTACAGCCCGGTGTCTGGTCGCTGTTGTCCTACGCTTCACCCATGTACCACCCGATGTATGGTCACTGTTATTCTACACTTCACCCATGTACAGCCCGATGTCTGGTCACTGTTATCTTACACTTCACCCATGTACAGCCCTGTGTCTGGTCTCTGCTGTGCTACACTTCATCCATGTACAGCCCAGTGTCTGGTCACTGTTGTCCTACAGTTCATGCATGTGCAACATTAGTAACTGTGATCCTACACTACATCCATGTTCAGAGCCAGTGGCTGGTCCCTGTTACCCTACAGTTCATGCATGTGCAACATTAGTGTCTGTGGTCCTACACTACATCCATGTTCAAACTCAGTGTCTGGTCCCTGTTATTCATTTACAACCTCCAAAACATCAATCTTTAGTAAAAGTAGATACATGTATTCATTTTGAAAACGCTTAAAATTACATTACTGAGTTGAATTTTGTGAGCGGACTCTAAGCTTTTGAAAACAAATGATAAAAAATTAACCTAAAGTAGTAAACAATATTTAAAAGAGCGGGTAATAAATCGAGCAAGCAGGTCGAGTTTGGTTAGACCCTGTACACGTCGGAGGTCTGGGAACCGGCACGCAACTAAACAGACACAACCGAACACATCTCAGTACACTGCACGCACTACATCAACACAGAATGGTACTCCCAACTCACTGGATACCAACACATTCAGCTCCAAGTCGTATTTGGCCGCCTGAACAACACTGAAACATTCAGGAGCCGTACAGGCAAACCCCCCAAATCCTCAACATCATCATTATCATCATCATTAAAATCACCATCACCATCATCATCACCTCATCATCATCGTGTATTGGGTCTGACAACTCACAAACGACTCAATGTGAGTTACAGTACAAGAGATGGATATCAGTCACAAAACAGATCGCATACACAGAATCATTCAGTTTCTTTAAAAACGTCATGATAAATCCGAAACCTGTGCCAACAGCGGGGTGTACATAATTTTACCAGCTTCGGGCTCATGTTCACCCGTCGACCTTTTGTGCTGTAAGAGCCGATAAAGTCAGTAAATTGACATGGCCATATTTTATACAACGAAAGAGTGTACTCGCCTACATACATAATTAATCATCCTACACTCCAGATCATCTATTTAGAACAGTTAACTTATTTGAATTATTAAAAACAATTTCTTGTGGTATTTAGACAAACTGTGAATTTAGTTCGTTCTCAGGATAATGTATTTTCAGTTTTGAGCAGTAATTTTGAATAGGATTGCACCTTCTGATTTTGGAATGCTGATACAGTGGTGAATCAGGATTCATGTGATTTTATATTTCCATGCAAAAGTGAACTGAGAAGAGAAGACAATGCATCTGATGCTTACCTCAAATTAGATTCCTTCATTGAGTTACAGAAGCGGGCGTGTAGCCCGGCCTCCCTCACTCATTGTGTTAGAAGGTCACAACTACTTACCTATCTTGTGATTGATATATTAGTAAACACAAAATAGCTGTCAATCTATTGTTATAGGTAATAAATTAGTTTCCTTTCTCATTTTGGGGTATTTAACGGTGGCGATCTGAAGGACGTTAATATTACTAATTACGCAAGGAACTAAATATACGTTATGTATCATATAGAGATGCATTCGCGCCTTAATCATGAACTACAAATAGTGAACATTGCTGGATAGTTGAATGATGGCAGAATTGACATTCTATCTGACATATCCAATAACTTGTACATGTATAAACCTTTTGCAGACACTTCAGTCATGTCACACAGAGAGATACTACAACGAAATCACGTGTACCTGAAGGAACACCTGGATGTGGACACGATTCTGGATGAACTGTTTCAAACGGAGGTGTTCAGCCTTACGGATAAAGAAAGGTGCATAGGTAAAAGTGGACTAGCTGCCCAGAGCGATGAACTGTTAAGCATTCTGCACCGAAAAGGTAGAAAGGGATACGACACCTTCCTTCAGATACTGGAAAAGGTTCAGCCCTACATTAAAGATCATCTCGAGGGACGGGAATCAAGCGATTCACATACTGCCAGTGCTCCAGACAAACAACTGGCGGATCAGCTGGAGCGCCTAAGAATGGTCTGTTTTAATGTTTCGGTACTTGAAGCAACCTCAAATGTTTCCTTGAGTGCACAGTCCTCACTATTCAGAGAGACATAACACTCTTTTATATAAAATTCACCGGTTTCACTTTCATCCTGACACAAATGCCTCCTTTTTACATATATTGTTTGGGTTTTTTCAGGAAAATGATAAGTTGAGAATGGAGGCAGCCCGACGTGAGAAGTCTCATATACAGCTGAAATCATCACATGAGCAGGTCAAAACGTCTCTTAGACAGGTCAAAGCGTCCCATAAGACGGTCAAAAAGGAGATTGAGATGTTAAAGAACCAACAACTTCAGAAGGTAGGCCTCAGAGTCAAACCTGAATTATATACTCTCCCAAAAAGAAACGCATATAAGAATGTCAATTGTATTTTTATGTTTATTTTGAAACATCTTGTAGGCTTTATGAGTCAATGAAATATAGCGATATTGCACACTGGGAATGCAGACTTATCCGTCTTTGGCACCAACTCGAGGAAAGTTAGTTTGAGTGTCACATGGAGACGTGTGGTGGTGCTGAAGTCAATACCTCGTTTGACCACCGTGGGCATCCAGAATTGCACGGTATCGCCTCGGCATCGAACGAATAAGTCTCAGAATCTCGTGTTGCCCAATCGCAGCCCACTCTGCCTGTAGTGCCTGTGCGAGTTGCTGAAGTGTCTGGGGCTGAGGGTTACGGCGTCGCACCCGTCTGTCCAGGGCATCCCACAGGCACGTAAACCAGCCTCTCTCAACCTGTTCCTGACGGTCTGTGCAGAAAGCCTCCTCAATCCGGGTATTTGTCGAACGGTACTGGTCGTCGTAGCTGTTCGATGACGCAGGTGATGTACCCGGATGTAGCGATCCTGCGCCGTTGTGGTCGCTCGAGGTCGCCCACTACGAGGGGCATCTGCTACCGCATTCTGCCGGCGATATCTCTCCCAGAGCCTCGAAATGGTGCTTTGGCTTACATTCATGCGTCGGGCAACTGCACGTTGAGACTGGCCAGCTTCAAGCAAACCAATGGCTATATGACGGTTGGCTTCTCTTAGACGTGGCATTTTGCGTTCGTCAACAATATTCAAAATACAGTGAATAATCGACGGACAGCGATCAACCTTTTATACCCATCATTGAGACTATCTGATCCCCAACTTTTACGTGCATTGCATGTGAATAGTGTATTCTGTGACACTACGCGCCGAAATTGAAAATCATGCTGTTAAATACGGGTATTTTACGGATGGTGCGTTTTGTTGTGATGTTTCAAAACATAAACACCATAGGACTCATAAACAGAGCAAAACCTTTTGTAAAATGATTCACGTTTTAATTCATTGCTACATGAAATTGCTATTTTCATGATGCGTTTCTTTTTGGGAGAGTATACATGTGTGATTTACTGTACATCATGGCAGGAAGGTCACAACTAAATATGTTATTCCACCAAAAAATGTTCACCATCTATTTTGGGAACGGTTACAATCTCGTTGTTCTCCTACTCAAAATAGGAACAATTATAATAGCAGATCAACAGCGTCCAAACTCGTCAAATATACTATGTCAGTGAAATAGCCTGGTGGTTGTAGTTTTAAAATGTCCTGCCACGGATCGTGACGGGCAGTATAACCACTCACTCTAAAATATGACTGTGTTATTCCCAGTTGCACAGTTATTCATATTGTTATATCTTTGCTCACTTTCGTGACCAGAGTCAAGGGGCAGCAGCGAGTGACAGAGCAAGAATTCCCGATTCCAAGTTGGACCCAGGTAAGCATTGTCTTTGGTTGTGACAAGTAAAGCGGTTTATAGAAGACGTATCTGCATCATTAGCACTAACCTGCTTCAGCATATAACCGAGACTGGTTATTTCCTGGCTCTGACTTTTAATGTAGTCAAGAAGTTCCAAGTTCGTGTTGGAGACAAACATTCAGCAGAATATTTCATATGAATATCTTACTATGGTACGCATTTAGGATAATGTGTAACTGTATGTGTTAAGCATAGAATGGGTTCTTCCCTGCTCTTTTTCCTTTATTGTTTATAGCTTATATGCCGACGGGTATTTCCAATGACGGCGCCTACCATAAGCTGAGGTTTCCAGGACAAAACATCACTCTACAGTGTAAGTAATGCACCCATGTGTGTTGACAACGCATGTCCCACCCACCAGTAGTATCCATGTGTGTTGACAACCCAGGTCCCACCCACCAGTAGTATCCTTGTGTGTTGACAACCCATGTCCCACCCACCAGTAGTATCCATGTGTGTTGAGAACCCATGTCCCACCCACCAGTAGTATCCATGTGTGCTGACAACCCATGTCCAACCCACCAGTAGTATCCATGTGTGTTGACAACCCAGGTCCCACCCATCAGTAGTACCCATGTGTGTTGACAACCCATGTCCCACCCACCAGTAGTATCCATATGTGTTGACAACCCATGTCCCACCCACCAGTAGTATCCATGTGTGTTGACAACCCATGTCCCACCCACCAGTAGTATCCATGTGTGTTGACAACCCAGGTCCCACCCACCAGTAGTACCCATGTGTGTTGACAACCCATGTCCCACCCACCAGTAGTATCCATGTGTGCTGACAACCCATGTCCAACCCACCAGTAGTATCCATGTGTGTTGACAACCCAGGTCCCACCCATCATTAGTATCCATGTGTGCTGACAACCCATGTCCCACCCACCAGTAGTTTCCATGTGTGTTGACAACCCATGTCCCACCCATCAGTAGTATCCATGTGTGTTGACAACCCATGTCCCACCCATCAGTAGTATCCATGTGTGTTGACAACCCATGTCCCACCCACCAGTAGTATCCATGTGTGTTGACAACCCATGTCCCACCCACCAGTAGTATCCATGTGTGTTGACAACCCATGTCCCACCCACCAGTAGTATCCATGTGTGTTGACAACCCATGTCCCACCCACCAGTAGTATCCATGTGTGTTGACAGCCCATGTCCCACCCACCAGTAGTATCCATGTGTGTTGACAACCCATGTCCAACCCACCAGTAGTATCCATGTGTGTTGACAACCCATGTCCCACCCACCAGTAGTATCCATGTGTGTTGACAACCCATGTCCCACCCACCAGTAGTATCCATGTGTGTTGACAACCCATGTCCCACCCACCAGTAGTATCCATGTGTGTTGACAACCCATGTACCAGTAGTATCCATGTGTGTTGACAACCCATGTCCCACCCACCAGTAGTATCCATGTGTTGTTGACAACCCATGTCCCACCCACCAGTAGTATCCATGTGTGTTGACAACCCATGTCCCACCCACCAGTAGTATCCATGTGTGTTGACAACCCATGTCCCACCCACCAGTAGTATCCATGTGTGTTGACAACCCATGTCCCACCCACCAGTAGTATCCATGTGTGTTGACAACCCATGTCCCACCCACCAGTAGTATCCATGTGTGTTGACAACCCATGTCCCACCCACCAGTAGTATCCATGTGTGTTGACAGCCCATGTCCCACCCACCAGTAGTATCCATGTGTGTTGACAACCCATGTCCCTCCCACCAGTAATATCCATGTGTGTTGACAACCCATGTCCCACCCACCAGTAATATCCATGTGTGTTGACAACCCATGTCCCACCCACCAGTAGTATCCATGTGTGTTGACAACCCATGTCCCACCCACCAGTAGTATCCATGTGTGTTGACAACCCATGTCCCACCCACCAGTAGTATCCCTGTGTGTTGACAACCCATGTCCCACCCACTAGTAGTGTCCATGTGTGTTGAGAACCCATGTCCCTCCCACCAGTAATATCCATGTGTGTTGAGAACCCATGTCCCACCAAGCATTAGTACCCATGTGTGTTGACAACCCATGTCCCACCCACAAGTAGTATCCATGTGTGTTGACAACCCATGTCCCACCCACCAGTAGTATCCCTGTGTGTTGACAACCCATGTCCCACCCACTAGTAGTGTCCATGTGTGTTGACAACCCATGTCCAACCTACCAGTACTATCCAAGTGTACTGACAACCCATGTCCCATCCACCATTGATACCCTGTTTTTCTGACAACCCGTATCTTAGCTGGAGTATCCATTTTCAACTCTGGCATGTGGGCATGCACTATAAAACCGACGTTTGGCTGGACGCACACATGCTATGTATGTGCGATCGGCTTAAAAGCGCCTTTACACAACATTTCACCTCACCTGACCTATCAGCATCGGCAACCACAGCAGTAGATAAGTCGAATACTGGATAGCCTGAATGCGTACGTGTGTGGGAATCAACAGGAGGTCACAGGAACAATGTGGAGGCGGTATTGTTTAGGATTCTCTGTGCCCATATTATCATATGCAGACGGACAATCTAGTCTTACTGGCTCCCATGGAGAACAAAAGAAGAGCAAAGGAGTGACAAATCCTGGACGTCAGCTCTCGTATATTCTGAAATACTTACCCCTGCAACATGCGGGTTCATACCGGTATCGTGGTTTAACACATGAACACTTGTAGAGCCCGTGTTCCTTTTCGTCAGTAAGTACAGACAGTGTGGTGATATGGCAGATGACGCATTTCGAAAAACTGTACAAGTCGACACTACAGCAAATCCTTCTATATACTACGCATACTTGGGATATATGGACACCGTCAAATTAAATCGCCTGCTTGCCCGAAACAGTGCATTTGAGTTCCCAAGAACTGCTCCACCTAGTAACTTATGTTCTTAATAATACATTGTCTCAGTAAAATACTAGTTACTGCACTTTTTCGATCAAGTCCCAACTAGATTCGAACCCACAGTCTCAGAATGAGGCGCCCAATCGCCAGGACAGAGTTAGGTAACTAAGACACGTAGCCACCGTGGCCTCCACTAAAGTGGAAGTCGCATAACTGATAGTTTAGATCACGTATGGCGTATACACTCTGACAAGTGGAAGTATATAGCAGGAAGGGTACTTTCAAATCTGGAATTCACTTCTCAAGTACAACATACAAATCAGACAGATTATGACGTCACAGACAAGAACATGTTACACAGATGCAAGGCGAGTAGGTAGAGATCTTCATGGGGCGTGGTCACCCTTTGTCTGCCTATTCTGATGTCCGGTCTGGACCAAGTTGCCCACAGTAATACAGGAGCAGTTCAATGTTCTTGCAACATGGGCCTGTGGTGTCTCCATTTGCAGCATTCCTATGGCCCTCTCACGCTCTTTTTGTGTTAACCTGACCTTTTCTTCTATGGTTATTCTTAATACTGCATCTCTAATATCTGAACTGAACAGCTTTTATACCGTTTGTGCATGTGCCATTTCGAAACACGAAAATCACGTGTTTTCTGCCACAAAATCCTTTTTCAAAACGCCCGAGCAAAACACTGCACTCATGACACGGATTCGTATTCTGGGGTCTTGGGGATTGGATTTGGCTTGGTTACGTTTAGCTGAAAGTGTCTTTCAACAGTTTAATTTGTTTAGTTGCCAAGTTTTTGGACGTTAGTTCATATAGCAGAAAGAGTGCTTTCAAATATTGAATTCACTTCTCTGTAACAACATACAAATCAGACAGTTTTAGTAAAGTATCTTAGAAATATATAAAAAGTAGATATTTTTGCAGGATCAAGAGCAGTCGGCGACTCTGATCTTTTTAGCGAAGATTTTCTACTTCGCTTTCCGCTTTTATGTTGTATTTGGTAATGGGTTGTCGCGTTACCCACTGACCTCATATACTATATTAAAGGTGGGTCGCTTTCCACGGCAGAAAGTACATCATATACCTATGTAATAAGTGGTAGAGGTGTTTTAAAGATATATGTGAACCAGATCGGCACTCGGTATTCGATAATGTTCCCAAATGCAACATAAAAATCGGACAGATTAACCAATTGTTTCTCGGGTTATGGAAACGACGGACAAACTTAAGTATAAAAAAACTACTTTCAAATAGCAAAGAAATCAAAACGCTGATTTGCAACAGTAACGACTTTAAGGCTCACGAAGTAAGATCATTATTTGAAGATCTGGGCCTAGATTGTCGAAGCTCTCTTAGCACTAAGATAGTCGTAAGTGCCATACATTAACATTAACTTACGACTATCTTAGCGCTAAGAGAGCTTCGAAAATCTAGACCCAGTATTATAATATCTGTGAGGGCCTGTATGTGAAGATTTAATAACGCGCCTCAAAAGGCATTTTTGCAGTAATTTCATGACTTATACGATACAATTTCTTTATTGCTTTGCTTTCACCCACATAGCAAAATCTCACATAGATCTGATACGGCTGGTGTACCAATTAGAAAACAGTCGTTGTAGCATTGTATATATCACGCTTAATATGTGTTGTCTGAGACATGTTGTCTATGACAGTGACATTTATCTTACTTACCAGGGCCTAGATTTTCGAAGCTCTCTTAGCGCTAAGACGGTCGTAAGTGCCATTCATTAACATTAACTTACGACGATCTTAGCGCGAAGAGAGATTCGAAAATCTAGGTCCGGAAGACTCAGCAGCTGAGATTTTATCAGCATATATTTTGAATTAGATAAAGAACACGTTCACACAATTCAACTTCTAAACGTATAGAGAAAACAATATACAAATCTCTATTCTGGTTTCAGTGATGTGGGGTGTTCACACAGTGAAGAGATGTTTGCAATATTAGTTTTTGGTTTGTATTCTCACGCCCGATTGTTACTAGGTATCAGATAATGTTACACCTTAAACGAGTCACATGTGACGCTAAGTTTGACATCATCCATACATTCATGTCCCAGTCAATACACGTGTCCCGCCCGGCGAGTGTGCTCAGACTGTGGTCAGTGATTGAAGCGGACGTAGAAGTTACCTGTTGACACTGTCTGTTGAACACTCAGATGTAAAAATATCGTCAAACAACTACTTTGTCGGTCTCATTGTTTAGTAAATCGTATAAGAAGAGTTTAGAATACTAACAATGATAGTTTTATCATGATATAAACTTTATACATATGTGTTTTCAGGCGGCAAGTGTCTATTTCTGACTACTGACAGCTAACCAGCTCAACTAACAATTTCTGACGAAATGTTTCATGGAGTGTTTATTTCATTGTCAATCAATATAAAAATGTATGAAAAACATTTAGAATACCCATACAAATATTTTCACAGAGTTATAATTTCTATTTAAAGCACAATTATGACACAATTCACACACAGACGAAAATGGCAGCCGATATTCAGTGCGCTGTTTTGTAAACATTGAAACGAGGTTGACAATAAAATGTCTAATTTGTTGTCTGAAGTCGGGAAATTTGTTAAACTGTAAACAAAATGTATATTTCCAGGTCCTAAACTACAACTGTCCGCTGATCGAGCCAACACAGACTGGTGCCACGTAACTACAGGCGGTGAGCTGGTGAACTCGCCACCCGCCACACAACACAGACACAGCGGCAGGTTACGGCAATATTGGGGTACATGTGCCTCCACCCCCATCCCCCTTCCTCCATCCCCCTCTACTGTCACCCCTGTCCCCCACACACCACGATACTGGGAGACCGACTCTAGGGTGGGTGTGGTGGGTGTGATGGGTAGAGTGTATCTACTCCTGGAGATGGGTGTGATAGAGAAGAGCCAGGTGGACAGTGAGGTGTATGTTTGTGACCAGCCCCGCTCCTGGTGTGTCTGTGTAGGGAGCTGTCCCACACACCAGGGGAGTCTCTGTACCAGTGTGTGGCAGCAGGGGGAGGAGGGGGAGTGTTACAGTAACACAATGTCTGCTACACCCGGCACACAGGCCACCCTCCACTATGGCATTGTGCTGGATGTGGGGAGGGGGAGACTCGCCTTCATAGACCTCGACAGAGAGGTTGTTTTGGCCAAGATGGATGTTGAGTGGAGCGAGTCTCTTCTTCCCATGTTTGGTGTTGGGCTGCCTGGTGTCCACACAGTCAACATGAAGGTGATAAGTGGTGCAGATATCACCATGACTGACACCAAGAAGTCACTTATTTATGACGCCTTGAATTAGACAATAAAATAAATATGACATTGTGTAAACTTGTAAGTGTGACTTATTTTTTTAAACTGTCAAATGTAATTGTAGTGATTGAGGCGGACGTATAAGTTGTCTGTCTATGTGCTGTTTGTTGTGTACAAGAATGTAACGAGGTCAGCTGAATGTGATGTTTTTCTACTTGACTGGATTCAGGGGGATGTTACAAACATTTTACATCCACACATGACTATTGTTATGATTATTATTCTGCAGTAGTTGACCAGTTTATCATACATTTCATACATGTCTGGGAAATGTCACAACAAATAACTGAATCCACAAATTCATCAAAAGTTGTTTCAAATCATGAATTTATTGCCATGTTTAGTTTCTACTCTGTAATGTAAATGTTTTAAATCCCCACATGAACAGTTGTGATGAAATTATTGTAGTTGTGAATCCACATACGTCACATTTGATCTCAGTGAAGAGATGTGGTGAAAGTGATAGAAGCGGACATAGAATGTCCCAAGTTTCAGTGTTGTGACCTGGGCTACAAAGTTCACTGTGTTGATTCACATGTCGTCTCTCTCACTGTGTCTACCCTCTTGTTGCTATAACTGTCTTAAAATATATATTTCCTGATTCAAGGTGTTGTTTACACATGTCTACGTCAATGATTCAATGATAATATACTCTCCCAAAAAAGAAACGCATATAGGAATTTCAATTGTATTTTTATGTTTATTTTGAAACATCTTGTAGGCTTTTTGAGTCAATGAAATATAGCGAAATTGCACAGTGGGAATGGAGACTTATCCATCTTTGGCACCAACTCGAGGAAAGTCAGTTACAGTGTCACATGGAGACGTGTAGTGGTGCTGAAGTCAAATACCTCATGTGAGCACCGTGGGCAACCAGAACTGCACGGCATCGCCTCGGCATTGAACGAATAAGTCTCAGAATCTCGTGTTGCCCAATCGCAGCCCACTCTGCCTGTAGTGCCTGTGCGAGTTGCTGAAGTGTCTGGGGCTGAGGGTTACGGCGTCGCACCCGTCTGTCCAGGGCATCCCACAGATGTTCGTTGGGGTTTAAGTCGGGTGATCTTGAGGGCCAGGGGAGCACATTGATGTTGTGTTTCTGGAGGAAGTCTCTAGTGTGACGTGCTGTGTGGGGCCTGGCATTGTCCTGTTGAAACAACTCGCTCTGGCGATCAAAGATTGGAAGGAGGTGTGGGCGTAGGATTTCGTCACAGTACCGTTGAGCTGTCAGGTTGCCCTGGATCATCACCAAATCACTTCTCCTACGGCAGGTGATCACTCCCAACATCATAACACTTCTCCGGCCGAATCTGTCCACCTGGGGAACGCAAGCGTCGGCGAAACGTTCACGTCGACGTCTGTACACCAACATTCTTCCATCGCGTCGTTCCAATAGAAATCGGGATTCATCACTGAACCGGTTTCTACACCAATTCGGTAGGTTCCTGCCCTGAACGTTGGTGCACCATTGAACTCGCTGTCGACGATGTTGTTTTTGAAGCACAGGGTCAAAATAAGGTCTTCTGGCACGTAAACCAGCCTCTCTCAACCTGTTCCTGACGGTCTGTGCAGAAGGCCTTCTCAATCCGGGTATTTGTCGAGCGGTACTGGTCGTCGTAGCTGTTCGATGACGCAGGTGATGTACCCGGATGTAGCAATCCTGCGCCGCAGTGGTCGCTCGAAGTCGCCCACTACGAGGGGCATCTGCTACCGTATTCTGCCGGCGATATCTCTCCCAGAGCCGTGAAATGGTGCTTTGGTGTGAACATGCAACTGCACGTTGAGACTGACCAGCTTCAAGAAAACCAATCGCGATATGACGGTTGGCTTCACTTAGACGTGGCATTTTGCGTTCGTCAACAATATTCCAAATACAGTGACTAATCGACAGACAACGATCAACCTTTTATACCCATCATTGAGACTATCTGATCCCCAACTTTCACGTGCATTGCATGTGAATTGTGTATTCTGTGACACTACACGCTGAAATTGAAAATCATGCTGTTAAATACGGTTATTTTACGGATGGTGCGTTTTGTTGTGATGTTTCAAAACATAAACACCATAGGACTCATAACCAGAGCAATACCTTTTGTAGAATGAATCACGTTTTAATTCATTGCTACATGAAATTGCTATTTTCATGATGCGTTTCTTTTCTTAGGAGAGTATATATACCTTACCTGGCACAGATCTGTCACAATTCTAGACAGCCAACTCTGATTGATATACGGACATATAAACAAAGAAATTGATCCTAATCTAAAACAGTTTTAGATGAATGCCAATAAAACCAAACAGATAACGACAGAAAACATACTCACAATGACGTTTGGGGAGTGTTAGTTCGTTCTCCTCAACGTAAGATGAGCATAGTATTCAGCACTGAAGCTTTCTCAATCTTTCGACTATGAGAGTAGGGAATTACGATAACTAAAACACTTATAAATATGTCATTACTCCTTGAATGAGACTTAAGAAGCTTTTACTGCTGTAATCTCAACTCCTAGACCGCAAATGATCAGAAAATGTTATTTAGCCTGAAATTGACATTTGTAAAAGCTAGCGATCTGGTAAACCTCTGTAATGTACTCATACTACATGTACTGACAAGCATTTTCCTATCGATGGATCTCTACATGACATGTAAGGCATATTCTTGAATATTTCTTCATCAGAAATATTACAGCTTATTACAGCAATGCTTGGGTTGCGTTCAAAAGTACTGGAAAAAGATGAAATAAGATGTACATGACAGTGTCTTCTTAACCCGGTGGAGAAAATCAGTTTGATCCTGACCTGAATGGGAAACATGAGTAGTTGGTGAGTGTGAGCATTACAGTTATCAAATTAGATCCCCCTCCGACTTTTCTTAAATGTGTTCTAAACATATTTATTTCCACCAAAGTGTCGCGGGATCGCTAAACAAGCGAAAGATAGCTTGTTTCAATGTCTCTCCCATGACGTACAATTTACATACAAATGTGATGCTCAGTTGAAAGATGACAATATGAACAACGATCGACAATTTTCCAGTGTGAAGTTGATGGCAATAACGCTTACTAATTGAATCGATGGTGCAACGAATAGTCATAAAGAAAGAGAATGTTTCTGAAGCTGTTTAAGAAAAATCTGGGCATCTCTGAAATATAAGTATGAAACTGATAATTTCAAAATCTCACGTTTTACGATTTTCTGTTGAAGCTGTGTGACTCAGAGAACAGAAAGAAAATCCCTTAGCATAGACGTACATTCTGTGTCTCATGTCATTGAATGCTGGGCAGATAACGACGGAATGAAGTGCGTCTTCAGTGATATAACCGACATTACATATACGACTGTCGGATATGAACCTCGCACATTTGTCAGCATTGGGGTTGGTACACCCGAGTTGGTGGTGGGAGAATACTTTAGCAGAAATTCGTAGTTCAAATCATTAATCATGCATTTGATTCTTACTATATTCCTTTTATTTCCTTTCACATTCAGAGAACTGCAACAATTCTTGTGAACTAGCATTGATATAATCTATGGGAAGGGAGTTTCAAATATTTACTGTATCCGGGAAATATGTTTGTTCAAGTCAACTGACAAATTGGTGCGCCCATTGCTATAGTTTGGTTTACTAACTTTACAAAGTACAGACGTCAGTTTGTTTCACAATCCGTTTTACTCTCGCTATCACTCCCTACACCCAGTTCAGTTATCAATAATAGACCTGTTTTAAATAAAGTTAGGGCATTGCTGACAATTTCTCGACGGGTGACCTTGTCTCAGCTGTTCAACCAAAGGTGCGCCCTTCACAATCACGGTCACGCAATTCATTTGTATTCGCTTGATCAGGTCAAGCTGAACAAGCTGTAAGGAATTTTAGGAGTAGGTTAGGTGAGGAATAAGTCAGTTGAGGTGAGGTGAGGTATGGTGAAATGGGGTTTAACGTCGCATGTCAACAAATATAATACAGCGACGTGCATACATATGTACGTGCATGTAGCTGCATACATGAGTCCTGGCTAGTTCTAGCTGTATATCACTAATCCAAGCCGCAGTGTTTAACAAGGATAACCTACACTGACACATAAATGGGATTTCGAGCCTGCCAGTTCGTGTTGTTTACAATTAGAACTCCAGACAGGGCAACAACAAGTTCCATCTTTCAACGGATTTTGGTCGATGAGGTTGGATATACATTTTTATAAATATTTCTATCATTAACGGACGTTTATCCCATAAACATGTGCAGAACGGGCCTTGGAATCCTTGAAAACAAAAACAGATCTTGCAAAATCATGCTTGCCAAATTGGTCAAATATGTACAGAAAGAGCACCATACGACGTGTTTCTTCTGATCCCAGATGGTAGTTCATCAAGCTGGGGTAGGTGAGGTAAAAAAGTAATGCCGGAAATGCTTGGAAAATGCTTTTTGGCCTCAATATCAATATGATGAATTTGACACAAGATAAAAGCACATATATGATACATGTACGACTCTATCTAGTTGGATATTAAAGCTCAGATGAAAAAATACACTAGAGGGGTGACTTCACGGGGGGAAATTTTGACGTTTGAACAACATTCGTAAATATTCTAAGTACAAACTGTAGTTTTGAAATACAGACTATAATTATGCATAAAGCCTCAACTCATTTAATTGCACAAATGATTGCAAAAAAGTTTGTTGTTTTTTTAACTTCTATATGTGAAAAAGATGGAACTCTTGTAGTAGTTATATTCAAAATAATTACGTTAAAAAGTATTAATTCAAATCGCATAGATAATCCTGCTCACCCATAGAAGTTTCACTTCGTGTGTGAGCACATAACTGGCAACATGCGACTTGATATCTCTGCAGAACAATTAATTTCACATTTATACCAGTATTTCATACTGAAGAAACAAAGGGGGAAACTTCTGGTCAGCTATGACAGGGTTTACTATAGAATGTGTAATGCCATTAATTTGACATATAGTCAGGTTTACAAAGTTGTAAACAAATCAGTTACCTCAGGGGTCTTGTCAAAATCAAAACCAGGTAGGAAACACAAACTGGATAGCTTTGATAAGGGTGTCATACGCCGTGCAGTTTATAAACTGTATGAACGCAAAATCCCACCGACGTGTGCTAAAATACATACCTCGTCCATTGGCTTCCAAGCTCCCCCTTTGTGCATTGTAATCACAACCAATCAATGTGTACATCAACCTACTCTCTTCAACTCACGATTACCATCTCAGGAGGACTGTACATCGACTCATCTATTGTATAAACTCATTCTGCATATTGTTTTAATCACCATCACTCTGTACATCAACCTACTCTGCTCAAATCACTAACTATCAATCCAATGTATATCAACCTTGTCAATTGTATATACTCACTATACAGCTATGTATATATTCTCCTTGTTACTACTTTTTTATCACATGCTTGATAACGGTGTTAGTACCTACACCGAAACGTCGCACTCATTGCAAAAAAGAAGTTGTCTATCCATAGAACTTTGTCTTCCAACACAAGTGACTGATGACGATTTACGGCAAATAAACAAACCTCTCAGAAATTTCAAGTGTTTTCCCGTTGATTCCTTTATTTTCTCGGTATCTTAATCATAGCATCTGAATTTGATATGCTTTAATTACCTCGATTCTTTTCTCGT